AATAAATAAATTGTGGTTAGACATGCACAGAGCATCTTCTTTCTCACAATGAGTTTCTTCTATCATTCATCCAACCAAGTTCGTTCTTCCGAAGTGATCTGGGAACAAGGTCAGTGCTGCAAAGAGCTTGTAAAGCAGGGGTCTCAAACTCAATTTACCTGGGGGCCGCAGGAGGCAAAGTCTGGGTGAGGCTGGGCCGCATAAGGGATTTCACAAAAAAAAGTCCTCAAATGTCATTATTAACAGTTTTAATTATTTCTTCTGAACATGAAGTGTCCTGAACATTAACAGAACATTGAGTGAAGATTATGAACAGTTCCTCTGAACATGGCATCTTTTGCCTACTCCTTGCTGCCAGAGACTTGACAGCACTTCTTCTCACAAATCTGAACCACATTTGGCTTTAGAGCGGAAGCAGTTGAGACCCTCAGTATGGCTTGGGGGAACTCACTCAAAACTTCCATTCCCTCACCCACTGCAGAGTGGATGCGCGCGTATTGAAGAGCGGTGTTATCGCGCGCGTACTGAAGAGCGGTGTTATCGCGCGCGTACTAATCAACTGTGTTGTCGCGCGCATACTCAAGAGCTGTGTTGTCGCGCGCCTACTGAAAGGCGGGACCGAAGGTGTGCCGCGTCGCGGGGGCACTTTTGATCATTTTGGAAGGGCACTTTCTATCCGAGACTAAAAAGGGCATGTGCACTGCACAGGTTGAGCCCTATGTGTGCACGTGCCTGCCCTCACCTAAAAAAAAGGCGTATATATGTATAAATAAAACACCCCCACCCCACTCCAGTCACATCAGTCTGTACCAGTCTGTATCTACCAATAATATATATAAGATGCAGGCTGTAGCTAGGTAGGTGGCAGGCTGCAGATAGGTAGCTAAGTGGCAGGCAGGGGCGGGAACAGCTTACCTTGGTTCTGGCCGGCGCGAGTTCCCTCCTAACACTTCCCGCCCGTCACAGCGTCTAACAAAGGGGCGGGGTGCGTGGTGACGTCACCGGCATCCCCGCCCCTTTGTTTACACGGCGGGCGGGGAATGCCAGTGACCGCTGTGTACGGATAGAATCAGCGGAGCGGGGAGCGCTCTCTCTCCCCGCTCCGCTGATTCTGTCAGTGTACAGCGGTCGGCGCGGGCCACAAAATATTGCACTGAGGGCCGCAAATGGCCCGCGGGCCGCGAGTTTGAGACCCCTGTTGTAAAGCCTGCCCTGGCTCATTTAAAGTGACCAGCGCAATGAATGATAAATGTCAGTAATAATCAAAACAGTTTAAAACGGGCTTCTCTAGAAATGTAAATATTGCACATAATATGAAAGATTGTGTTCAAGCATATAGCTGACTTGTGCACTTCATGCTATTCTTTCTTCTTGCTCATTTTGTAGATAACAGACCAACAAAAAATTCATTAAAATAAATATACAAATTATATCAAAGGAGTTTCAAAAAGATATATTTTCCAAGAAAGATACAAGTTTATGTTTTTGTTCCCGTGAATAGATGATTTCTTTTGTTCTGTGGGAAATGAGGGTTTCTTTAATGCTCCACTGTAATTGGGTCACAAACCCGTCATTTGTTTGCTACATTTTTAATTTGTCATTATGTTAAAGATTGTCATAACCATCTGATTTTTCCCTCATTCTAATGTGCTTTCATTTTCTCCTAACTTGCTGCAGGAGTTTTAAAATCCCAACCGATAATGAAATCTGGTTACAGTGCACACAAACCTTAAACGTGCACACACTACAAGACAAAGAAAACTGTGGCATAGCACACTACAAGATACTATTAAGATTGTGCCTGATGGAGCACATAACCTGATTGCAGAATAACTCTGCTTTTTAATGATAGGCTAGCTAACAAATATTTGACCAACTGCCAGAGCGAACAGCCTGCAGAATGAAAAAAAAATGCTGCTTGAAAAGAGCACGTCCAAACAAATGTCTAATATTATTATGAATAACTATAATAAAAACTACTACTACTATTATTATTATTATTATGGATCAGAGAGAAGACAAAGGCAGATTAACAGAGAATGAATATTTAATGATACTTTAAACAATTTTGAGGTTGTTCAGAAAAGAAATATCATCAATACCAACAAAAAGAAAACAAACAAACAGAACTTAACTTCGGGTTGTAACTGAAACAAGATGATGCCAGTGGAGGTAAACACCGTACAGGATTCACAGGACAAGATAACAGACAGGATAACAAACTGGTGAGCAGGTAGGCAGGCTACGTTATCAGGTAAATGCTGTCACACTGTAGAGAAATGAGTCTAGGTAATAACAAATAAATCAGACCATAAATGAGTGATTGTTCCAGGCTTACAGGGTTATGTAGTGTGAGCGATGATGAGCAACAGGAGAAGGTGATTGGTGATTGGTCTGGTGATTGGGGCTGTGCAGGTGCAGTGAATGAATCTGATTGTCCAGAAGGATTCCTGACAATTATTATTATAAGCTAATATCATAATACTGGAATGTGCCATGCTTTGACTGGCTATTTATTTCAAAAGAAAAATTGTTAGTTGTTGCACTGCATAGCCTATAGTGTGGAAAAATATAATTTACAATGCAACGAAACCCTGGCCTGCAGTAACAGTACTGTCTCTCCCTCTGAATTTTATTTTCTATACTTTAATTTTCTAAACCTTACATTTTAATGTTTAAGCATTTTGTTTCATTGGCTACACATCTGGGTCATAGCAACCACACACACAGAATAAAGTGTGGCTAATAAAAAAAAAGATGGTTTAAGCATATTATAAATTAGCTTATTAATTTATTCATTTGTTAAAACCAACACAATTCCCACCAGCTTTTCTTTTTAGGCTTTCAGGATGTTGTCACAGCCATGAACATAATAACTTTCTTTATTAATAGCCTTATTGTTATTTTTTGACCAACTGCCTATAGGCACAACCTCAAAATGGTTTCTGGCAGTTATATAAAAAAAAAAAAAAACATATGCATGCACTCAAGGTGTGCTGCAATTGTCTTTCATATATAAAATAAAAGTTTGTATGTTAGAGGGAAACAGAATTGCGGCTCATCTCGTGCATTTACTTAATTTTATAACAGCCAGTAAGAGATATGCAAACTGGGACATAATGACACCTATTTTAAGGTTTTGCTTATAGTGGCAGGTAATCAAATATTACCATAATAATAATAATAATAATATTTTATTATTATTATTATTATTAGCAGGTTGTTGTTATTCTGTTTATTGTTGTGACAAGGTCCTGTAAGCCTAAAAAGAACAGCTGGGGAGAATCGTGTCACTTTTAACAAATAAATAAATATATATAAGCTAATTTATAATAAGATTAAATGATAGTTTTTTATAAAATAGTGTAAGTATAAAAAAAAATTTGTCCCATAGCCTAAACTGAAACGAGTAGGCTATAGGCTATAAGATTTTTTTTTTTCAGAGAGAGATAACTGCAGGGCCGGGGTTTTGCATTGTGAATTATATTTTTTCAATACTATAGCTAACAATTTTGCTTTTGAACTACATAGCCAGTCAAAGCACAGTATAATAAGTAAAACTGGCCACAATTTAGTTTGGATGCGATAAATTGGAAGAAAATATATACATTAAATACAAAGGCTGGTTATTTTACTGGTGATAAGGCACACTACAGTGTAACCTTACATTTTACTCATTATTTTAATTGATAATTTGTTAATTAATACTGGGCGAGGCAGTGGCGCAGTAGGTAGTGCTGTCGCCTCACAGCAAGGTTGCTGGTTCGAACCTCGGCTCAGTTGGTGTTTCTGTGTGGAGTTTGCATGTTCTCCCTGCCTTCGCGTGGGTTTCCTCCGGGTGCTCTGGTTTCCCCCACACTCCAAACACATGCGGTGCAGGTGAATTGGGTAGGCTAAATTGTCCGTAGTGTATGAGTGTGTAAGTGAATGTGTGTATGGATGTTTCCCAAAGATGGGTTGTGGCTGGAAGGGCATCCGCTGCATAAAAACTTGCTGGATAAGTTGGCGGTTCATTCTGCTGTGGCGACCCCGGATTAATAAAGGGACTAAGCCGACAAGAAAATGAATGAATAAATAATACTTAAATGTAAAAATGGTATTGAATCTACTTAGAAAGATTTTTTATTTACTTTAAAAAATGTCTGGTGCAAAGTTTAATAGCTGTTAGTTGTGAAACTTATTGATGTACTCTGGCTCCTTTAAGGGAGGTGCACCGGAAAGTAGGAGAGAGGGAAAAAAAGGAAGTGGAGAAAAGTTGGGCAGATGCAATGCTGTTGTAATGCTGTTTGTGAATGTTATGTTGATGCTCCAGATTAAAGACAAAGAAATGAATTTTCACCCTGGTAACCCGCGTTTAATTATGATACCCACGTTGGAGAGACTGGTTTGTAAACAGCCAGAAACATGGGTTACAACAGATTTTCAACAAAAATATTATAAGGAAACTTATTTGACAACAACAGATCCTATAAATGTTATAACAAATGCCCTTAATTACCTAGCCTAGTTGACAGCAAGCATCAAGTGTTTATTGAGATTGTGTCTGTCATCTTTCTTTATGAAGCATTAAACAGAAGGGCGTACGTTGACCAGAGTGATGTTCAGCTGACGAGGTGCATTTATTTAGCCTGTAACCTACCCTATAGATTTTTTTTTTTTTTTTTTTTGCATATAATGTTCTTAAAATTTCATTAAAATGTATATTTATAGTTTTTATATAAAATATAAATATATAAAAGGCCTGGATAAATTATGTATTTTATAAAAGGTTTGTTTATGGACTATGCGCGTCTCGCTGGCGCATCTGTGACCAAGACAGAACGTGTTTGTTTGAGATGATCAAGACCCACGGTATCCAGAGTAAACCACCAAATGAAAAAGAAGAATAAGAACCACATCCATCAGGAGGAACTGTGGATGCCAGAGGAATCTGTCTGAAATAGATGTCTTTTTAGTGAACAAGCATGAATAACATGCAGGTTTTAGAGTATGAGGAATTC